CCTAAATAATTCTGACTTGTTTACATGCACTTTGCGATCTCCAAGCGCATTTTTTTTGTAATGGGAAATCAATGGGTTTATACAGACAACTCTACCATGTAGACCAGCATTGTGCAGGGTGTTCCGGACGGTTTGGGAACAACATTTTTTTCTGAAGGCTTCTCTAGGGTTTTAAGAATTGTTGTGGATGTTATTCTGGCATTTTGCAATGCCGTACTTACAACTTTATGATCCTCTCGTAGTGTCAGCATGTGGTTCAAATTCTGGCAAAATCTGGCAAATTCTGCAGTGTTTACGTATTTTTTTATCAAACTTTGCATTGTGGAAGGTGACTTGACAATATTTCTATTAATTTCGGGTTAATTCCGGTTCGCTAAATATATTTTTATTATAGTTTTGACCCCGACCCATTTCGTCCAATTACAGCAAAAAAAGCAGCGAAACTAACTAAACAACTTTGAGAATAGTACACTGAAGTTTGCTCCGAAGTACAGTTCAAAAAAGAATCGTGGATTACCGTTGGATTCAGAAATAGAAGTCAAGAATGAGAAGTGTACAAATAATTTTTGTGCGTAAAAATTTTTTTGCGTTATTAAGGAAATTATCTACTATTTAAGTTAAAACTTGTTAATTTTATGTTTAAAATATATTCTCGAAATGTGTATCTTTCATTTAAGATATTACATTTTAATTTCCGTTACGTATTTCTCGAGATATTAAGGAATAAACTTCCAACTCATAGGTGTACGAATAAATTATGTGCCGACTGTATATACTTCGGAATGGCATAACAATTTATAAATCTTCTCTACCGGGTCCTCAAAACGCATCTTTGGCTTAAGCCAGTCTTTTTATCATACGGTCTGCTTCCTTATAGACTTTTCTTTCATTAGTGAATCAGTGCCTATAAGGTAGGTATAGTTTTCTTCGGGATGATATCTCGTCTATTAGTGGCAGGATTCGAAGATATTTCTGAATGATATCGTTCGAATAATGTCCACGTTACTCCTACTCACAGCTGAGAGCCATATGTTCATATAGGATTTCAAAGCCTGAAAAAGACATAACTAATCCACTATCTTACAGACCAATAAGTTTGCTCCATGTCTCTCAAAATTTTCCGAGAAATGCCTTCTGTCTCGCTTATTACCTTACATTGGAGCCCAAACCTATATCCCGGCATATTTAATGCACAATCGAGCAAATTAACCGGATAACAGCTGATAAACGAACCGCCTTCGAAAATAGAGAATATTCCTCGACGTCTCCGAAGCGGTCGACAGCGTCTAGCTTGATGATCTAATGCATATATAACCTGGGTCATTTATTCAAATTAATATTTTTATTGTTATGGAATGCAAAAAAAATGGGAAGACTACATTTTAGAACCTGAAGTTCATCAAGGTAGTGCTATCGGTACTCTCTATGTACTCTAAACAGCTGACATCCCTTCAAACGAGTGACCACGTTTGCTGACGAAACCGCCATCATTAGCCGCTCGAAATGCCCGACTAGGGGATCACTTAGTGTGGTTAAAGGCCTATGAGTGGTTTTCTGACAACCGTGTTAGAATTAACGAACAAAAGTTCAAACACATAATTTTCACTGTAAACAAACAACAATGCCCTCTGATAATCTTGAACAGAATGTTTGCAAATAACTAATTTAGGTGTCCACCTGGATGGGCATTCAAATTGGGGCAGGCATTTTGAATGAAAAGAAAAAACGATGTATAAAACAGTAACGGGTGCCTTAAAGTCGCGGCACTCGACTATAAGATACTGTTTTACACAATTTTAAAATATTCTTTTTGTTGGTGACGCCACTGCCCATGTGAGGCCTTATTACCTTCATTTCTTACTTAATAGCAATATTTTTCCGATTTAAAAAATTTGGGTTAATCGATAGATATTGACAAAACAAATAGTAGGTTGTCAAAAAAGTCTTGCGGTATTTTCGCTAGTTGGCGCTGAAAGCGCGTAGTTCTTGTTTTATTCGTCGCATCAGGTCATACTATACCTTTTTGGAAACCTCATTTCACGCGCTAACACGTTTGATTGATTGTCTTTTCTTCTAAGTCGTTTGTGAGTTATATCGTCGCAATGATGGAGCAAAATAAAGAGAAAATACGGCATATTTTACAGTAATACTACGATAAAGGCAAAAATGCATCTCAAGACGCGAATAAAATTTGTGTTTATGGACCCGACACAGTTTCCATTTCCTCCGCACAACGATGGTATCAACGTTTTAGTTCTGGTGTAGAGGTGGTTGAAGATGCGCCACGCTCCGAAAGGCTTGACGTCGAAAATTGCGATAAAATCGCTGAATTGGTCGAAAGAAACCGGCATAGTAGCAGCCGTAGCATCGGTCAAGAGCTGGGCATGAGTCATCAAACCGTTATAAACCATTTGAAGAAGCTTGAAGTCACTAAGAAGCTCGATGGATGGGTGCCACACGAATTGACGCAAAAAAACATCTTTGACCGTATCGACGCATGTGAATCGCTTCTAAATCGCAACAAAATCGACCCGTTTTTGAAGAGTATGGTGACTGGCGATGAAAAGTGGGTCACTTACGATTACGTAAGGCGCAAACGGTCGTGATCGAAAAGCGGTGAAGCGGCCCAGACGGTGGCCAAGCCTGGATTGACGGCCAGGAAGGTTCTTCTGCTGTGTGTTTGGTGGGATTGGCAGGGAATAATCCACTATGAGCTGCTCCCCTATGGCCAAACTCTCTATTCGAACCTGTACTGCTAACAACTGGACCGCTTGAAGACAGCACTCATGCAGAAGAGACCCATCTTTGATCAACAGAGGCCGAATTGTTTTCCACCAGGACAATGGCAGGACACACACATCTTTAGTGACGCGCCAGAAGCTCCGGGAGCTCGGATGGGAGGTTCTTTTGCATCCACCGTATAGTCCGGATCTCGCACCAAGTGATTACCACCTGTTTCTGTCCATTCTGGCCACAAGAGAGTCCTGTGAAAATTGGCTCTCCGAGTTTTTTGCCGATATTATTCATATTTGAATAAAAATACCGCAACTTTTTTGACAACCTAAGATTACACAAAGTTAAACGAAGAAATACATTTTAATATTATGGACGCTACAATTTTGCGCGGATTGTGGGCGTTGCCGTGAAAAAATATTACGCATTACGCATCATTAGAAACTGCATGCTTAATTCCAAATTACCGATATATCAGTGTTCCTAAAGGCTACCGCTTTCTGCTGTTGGAGGGCGTAAGAGTAGACGTGGCCACATTATGGTACCACCCTGAGATGAGCTAGCATCTATCTAATTATCTCGCTTAGTTTTTGAGTTAACATATGATTTTGAGATTGTGGGCGTTGTTACGCCCCATATTTTTATATCTGAAATCTATTAATCATATGAACTTAAATCAAAAAACAGAATTTAAATATCTTGCTTTGTTCTTGAGATTTTAACTTTGGCCAGAAAAAGTGGTAAAATTTTCCATAGTGCGATGGAGTGGCGACCCGCAGTTTAATTTTGAATTGCATTTTTAGATCCTAAACAGAGCTGAAGCTGCGCTAAAGGGCCACTAATAAATAAATAAAAATTTAATAACTTAACATTTGTAATAATCTATATATCCATTTTTAATTTTTTTTTTTTTAAGTTATTTTTAACCATTTTACTTGCTTTTGAAATTTAAAAAATAAAAAGGACGAATATTTCACCGTAATCCACTATACAGGGTGACAATAAATAACCCGGACAAACTTTGAAGCAATCTATTATAAATGTTATGATGCCGCCCTTAAATAAATGCATTTATCGATAACTAGTACTTTTCTGAAACAAATATATATACATTTTTGTGATTCCCACCAATTTGACATTTGTTTCGGGATATTTAACAATCGTTGTGCAATTTTAAAACTTTTTCAACAAGGAAATCAATCAATGCGACATTGTTCGTTTGCTTGGCATACTAAAACAAACAGTCTCTGACGGTATCCGGCGATTTAATGAGCTTGGCCATGAAGGTGACCGTCCCGGACGAGGCAGACTATGCACCGCTAACACTTCCAGAATTTGCAGGATCGTGAAAAAGCGGATGACTCGGAAATGCAGAGTCTCGGTCAGAAAAATAGCCCGTGAAATCTGAGTGAATCGAGAAAGTGTTCAGTTGATTGCAAAAAATGAACTTAATCTCAAGCCCTACAAGCTCCAAAAAGTGCATCTTCTTACGGATGACAATAAGCGCGTGAGACTCCAAATATCAGCTAAAGCGTCGGGCCGCAGGTCAAAAATGGGAGCGTATTCTCTTCACGGACGAGAAGATATTCACCATCCAACAGGCGCACAATCACCAAAATGACAGAAGCTGGTCGGCTGCAGCTCCAGGTACCTCTGCAATAATCGAGCGCCGTCAATGTGAGCAGTCTTTAATGGTTTGGGGAGGAATATGCGCCACTGGCAAAACACCCCTTCTTTTCATCGATCAAGGGGTCAAAATCAATAAGGAAGTGTAGCACCTTGACATTTTGGAAACTGTTGTGCTTCCTTGGGCCCAGCAGCACTTCGGTGATACGGAGTGGATGTTTCAACAAGATTCAGTGCCAGCCCATAGAGCCAAATTGACTCAGGACTGGTGCAAAGCCAATTTTCCGGACTTTATCACATCCAGTGAATGGCCACCTTACTTGCCAGATCTTAATCCGATGGACTACAGTGTGTTGTAATGGTGCTAAACGCCACATAAGCTTGGAGGCGCTGAAGCAATCATTGCTCCGAGAATGAGATCGATTATCGGAAGAAGACCTGCTCTGCATCGCAGCCCAATGAAGCCACTTCGAAACCGGCTGAGTATATATTAACACAATACCTATTTAATAGTTGTGTATTTGCATTTTATCTCAAATACAGTTCCTTAAAAAGTTATAATCAAAAATGTGTGTCCGGGTTATTTATTGTCACCCTGTAAATAAAATATTGATTCGGTTCTAGTTAATTTGTTCACTGACCTGTTTTATTTCTTGTTTCATTTGTAGATCCATTTAATTTAAGTTCTTTGTTATTTACTTTCTTAGCATTTTCTGAACTTAAAATTTTTTCTTTATGCATCGTCTGTAAAATAGAAAATATACCGTAAGTATGTTTTTGATAATCCGTGTTATTTTTTGTGCGTTTATTGATGTGGGTTTAGTTAGTTTTTTTAGTTTTTAATTCAATTACGTTATAAAAATATTATTTGTTATTTTTTTAAATATTATACAAAGGATATATTTATTGACTTTTGGCTGTTCGATTCAAATATGCATGCCAAATATAATAGTCAGTTTCAAAGCCGTTTAACATCAATTTATGTATTAGCTCATAACTAAATTACCGAAGTAAAAGAAGACTAGGTCCAGTAACGCCCATAGTTAACATAGAAAGTTTCTGCAAACACCCAAATTTAAAAAGCCTTTCTGGCTCAGTACCGGTAGCTATTGCGGAAACTGCTAGCGCTGGTGGTGACTGGAAGCAGGGGAGTCATGTTTCCCTGTACAAAGTGCTGAGACTAGTGTGGCTGCTGAGGCCGTCAGTCAAACAAAATATATGATAGGTACTTGTAGATTTTGTAAAAAACTTTTGGTGGAATATTAAAACAATAATATGTTGATTGATTTGCTCCGGAAGCAGCATCGTATGATGTTTTGAATTTTATAACGGAAAAAAGAAAAAACCATAAGATATACGTTCCGGTTTAACCAATTTTAAAATATTAATTTTGCTAGTAGAAATTGGCTACATTTGTAATAACTGTCCATGTAAGGCCTTATAAACTAAACTTCTTAATAAATCGAGATAATGTTGCGATTTGGAATATCTTTGGTTAATAAATAGATATAAACCAAAAATGTTATACAAGGTCAAACGAAGATCAAAAAATTTTAAAGTTATGGAAGCCACAGTTTTCAGCGGATTGTCGGCGTTAGAGACGCGTCGTCAGATGATGAAAAAATAATACCCATCATTAGAAACTAGTTATTGACATAGTGTTCTTAAGGTACCACCTTGAGATGGCATCTCAATACTATACATGCCTAATGCTAACTCTTTAGATCCTGGGCTCTCAACGATTTTAGTTTTCCGTGTTTCGCACCATAAAAAACTACATGCTTAAACTCAACTTTCTATCACTTATAGTTACCGAGATATCAGCCTTTCTACAAAAGGCGAAAGCGTTCTTTCGAGCTTGGTGGGTGTAAGAGTGGGCGTGGCCGCCTTACCACCTTAAGATGCGCTGACATCACAATATTATACATGCTAACTTTGTAGCTATACTACTCATAGTTTCTAAGATTTCAGCGACTATAATTTTTCGTCATTTGTGGACGTGGCCGGATGAAAGAACCACTTCGAGCTACGGTAGAATCTCAAGAATGTGTATGCTTGATCCTAAGTTTCTAGCTCTTAGAGTTACCGAGATTTTTGCGTTTTTGGTTCTCCGTGTTTTGTAGGCGTGTCTAGATGGGAAGGGCATTGAGGGCACCATTAAAACTACATGCTTAATCTTGAACAATAAACGATTTCATATTTTTAAATATTTATTATCAAAACTCTTGCTCTGTGAAAATTGTTTTCAGCGATAGGGCTCATTTTTGGCTGAGCGGATGCGTTAATAAGCAAAACTGTGGCCTCTGGAGTGATGAACAGTCAAATGCCATATAGGAATAATGCAATTTATCGCCCTTTATTACTTTTATGGGGCTATGTAGTCTTTAGTCTATGTAGACAAGCCGAACACGATTTAAGCTTTTCTGAACTGCTCGAATCGTGACGAAAAATTGGGCCTTCCGAATGGACCACTTGAAACGGAGCCGCAGACAACATTTACATGAAGTTATTTTTAAAACGTTAATGGCAAAGGCCATATTACGCATATTTATAGATTCCAATAAAAATTCTATGATTTAATTTTGAGTGTTTTATTCGATTTAAAAAAAAATACGCCTAAAAATTACCATATAGTTAACGAGATATCATCCTTTCTACCTTAAGATGCGCTGGCATCTCAAGATTATACATGCTTTATCCAAACTTTCTAGCTTTAATAGTTCCCGGGATTTCAGCTATTTTAGTTTTCGTGATTTGGGGGCGTTAGAATGGGCGTGGCAGGATGTTCCACGTAGGGACCTCAACAATTTGCTTCCTTAATCTTAACTTTATATCTTTTATATGTATTGAGATCTCAGCGTTCATACGGACAGACGGACATGTTATCGTCTCGGCTATTGATCTTGATCAAAAATATATATATATTTACTTTCTCTGAAACGCTTCCTTCTACCTGTTACATACTATTTAATATACCTGACTATATGACTGACTTAGATAAGATCCATATACGATAACTTAAATTTCATTTATTGACCTATTATTATTATTGAAAAATATGAACTCTAGACTCAATAGTCGAGTCTATTTAATCATGATGGCAAGAACGATAATGTTTTAGGAACGATATTAAGGAACCAGATATAAAAATGCATGCTCAGAAGATATTTTTTCATCATTTACAGTGGAAAGCATGTTTTTGTTTCGCTAGCCACGACTAAGCGGTCTGCCGGTTCGCAAATCTTTAATCTTCATGTTTGTTTGCCCTAATTTTCTGGACGATTTGATTTTCTGAATAACGTTGATGGGTAGGCAGGATGGCAGAAATATAAAGGGAAAAGGTGAATGCTTTGTCAAAAAGCATGTTTACTAACTGATGGTGACGACACTGTCCACCTACGTTTCTTCTTAAATAGCGATATAATATTCCTAAATGAAAAATCTTTGGTAAATCGATATTGACAAAAAATTGACAGATTGACAGAAGGCATTATTTTCTAGCTCTTATAGTTCCCGAGATTTTAGCGTTTTTGGTATTCGTGGTTTGTGGCCGTGGCTAGATGCGGAAAAAAACCGAGATATCAGCTTTTCTACAAAGAGCGAAAACCGTCTTTCGAGCTTGGTGGGCGTCAGAGTGGGTGTGGCCCAAAATTATACATACTTACTTAATTCCAACTTACTAGCTCTAATAGTTCCTAAGATTTCAGAGGTTTTAGTTTTCCGTGATTTTTGGGCGCTGCTTAGGGAATCAGGAACTTCATCTGAGCTTTGTGTCTCCTATAGTTTGTACCGACAAACGGAAATGGCTCGATCGACTTTGCTATTGATCCTGATTAAGAGTATATATACTTTATAGGGTCGGAAAGGCTTCGTTCTACCTATCACATACTCTTTAACGAATCTAATATACCCATTTTCTCTACGAGTAACTATAAAAGTAACACACCGTATATATGAATTAAAAAAAATCAGAACATTTCCTTATAATCACATCGTTGACCTGGTGGAACGGAAAACGATCGCGCATGCCAAGACTAACGGCACTTTGAAGAATTTTTTCAGGATCTCCGAGTACAGTCTTGCATCCATGACTCCATCCGAAAACACGAGGTTACCATCCCCAGAGGCTGTCAATAAGGCATAAACATGACATGGCCCCCGCCAGGCTGGCGGGTATTGTCCTAATATGGTGATTTCACCAGCCTAATCACAAGACATCATTTTAATAGAGAATTTTTGAAAACTTTTGGACCAGGCTATTCGTAAGAGGAAGATTTCCACTAAAATCGAGCTGAAACAATTGCTATTGGAAGAATGAAAAAATCCCTATTTAAACCACCAGAAATATGGCTTCTTCAATGAAAACTTATCTGTCTGGAAAAATGAAAAAATCCCTATTTAAACCACCAGAAATATGGCTACTTCAATGAAAACTCATCTGTCGACTCCCAGAAGCATAAAAAAGGACTCATGAAGTATAAAATCTTCTATGTTACCCTAAACTTACTGCACACAATAAACTGCGGCATAAAATATACTTAAAATTATGTTTTTGTTTTGTAACTTTTTTGCTTTTATGTTTAAGAAGTTGATTTTTAAGTATTAAATATCAATAACTTAAATATTGAGTTTTAATTTTCCAAGTTTAGCCGCAATAAAGATTTAAATTTTCACTCTTCGGATGTACGAAATAAGCTGCGAGCAACTGTATGTATTTTATCTAGTAGTCATTACCGTAACGCCCATCATATCAAACTGACCTTGTTTAGCTAAGACTATTCCCTGACACGTTAATAGACAAAGTATTTTGTTTATCTGTAGTTGTTATTTTTCATATTAAACACAATATTTCCATCGCTAACATAAAAGACGCTGTTTATATTCTGATATTTATATTCCTTTTAAATAGAACCGTTGACCTGTTTAATCACTTTTTAAATTTTAGTTGCTCATTTCATATTTTGACATGACAGTTGAAGTGTATTTATTTAAACCCGATCCTACCGGTTAGTAGTATTCGGGATGAAAAATATTGATCTATGTACACGTTCTTACACTAATAGTCTTAAATTTTGATTTCCAAATTATATACAAAACGAAAACTCGAAAAAACAAAGAATGTCTGTTGTATTCACCAAGACCTTAACGATCCCGTTGGTGGGTCATAAGGATGCAAAATAGTAATGCGTCAAAAAGGAAACGAAACGCATAAAATATCGTCTGGAGTTAGTGTTGAATGTGGAACGCTGAAATATGGAATTTTTAAAAAATCAAATCGATATATTTTTGCAAATTGTATTAATACTAATAAATATATTTTAAATATCGATATGTTTTGATATTTTCTAAAAATAAATTTGTCTTTATTGGATTTTTTTATATGCACAGCACAGAGCAGCACTTACAAGTTTACTTACACTTTTCAATATATATGTATATATATATATAAAGATTAAAATTTAAATTAACCTTTTTGAAATCTGTCATGGACAGATTTGTGATTAGGGCACTAATAAACGTAATGAGTATTTATATATGTAGGTGTGATCTAAAATGTTTATGAACGGGTATGCAATTTTGGCCCATATTTGTGTATGTGAATACTTGATCGACATTGTAAGTTGACCGTCAGAACACAGTGAGTTAGTACAAACTTAACTTATGTTTGAGGTTAGGTAAACTGAATTTGTTTTATATTAAAACCAGCTGTGTGCCGGAGTGTACAGCTATGGCATCGGGCAGAATTCATTATCCATTCTATGTGTGGCAGCTACTACTTAACAGCGAGCTACTAAACAGCGTGGTACTAAACTTTCGATAAAGTACTTGAAAATTATCGGTATACAAATTTTAAATATCAATATACACACAAAAGTCCGATCCTCAATTCCCTGGAGTTTTTTCTTTTATTGGACTTTATCGGATTCGCAAAGTTTTATGATTTGATGTGCATATTTTGAAAGAAATCATATTCGCTTGATGTAATTAAGTCACAAATCTTGCGGCTTCTAAGAATGCATTGACAAATAAGGAGATCCACATTTTGAAATATTTTAAGGAGGTTGCAGCAGGAAACATTAAACTTCAATTACACCTTGAATGTAAAAATCAGCTTATTTCATTAAAAATTGGAAGTGCAACGCGTCTTGATCAAAACATATTCAGCTCAGATTAAATAAAATCTCAGTTTTTGGAATTGTCGAACTCAGAGGAGCTGGCTCAAGTGTTAATATGATAAAGACTTCGAGAATTTGTGATAATTTGAACGACGATGCCGGTAGTGAACGTCGAATGCATAAATAGCTTTTGAAAAGAAAGACAGTGTTCATGTCAGTGATAAACAAATATGTTGATGTGCATTTAAATTACCTCAATTAGATTGTCCAACTAGGTGGGGATTAACTTACAACATGGTTGAGCAACTCAATATGGTAAAGAATGACACTTTCCTGGATTTTCGTGCGATTAAACAAAATATACTCTCGGCGACTCCGATTCTCTTGGACAAAACGGTTTTACAGGATTAGTGGATTCAGGAATTAGATTGGGACGAGTCTCTACCAATGAGAAAGCATGTTGAATACGTGATAGTGACGTCACTGCCCATGTGACGCCTTAAAACCAAGGAGTATACCGTCTCGACTCCAGAAATTGCGTACCCTTGATTGCTTGATAAGAAAGGAGAAATTTTTTTTATTCAGATGACCATTTCACAGCCTGATTGTCATTTCAAAAAATCCCCAAAGCAGGGCCCGGCACTTAATATAAGCAAGGAAAAAGATAAAATTTATTCTTCTGACGGAGTGAGACCCTTGGGCGAAGGGGAGAAGCAACCACGCTTTCCCTTCCCCAGCAGCCAGATAAGCGATTTAAAAGCCGAAGTTCGGTGCACTTTACCAAGCAAATCCAAGCGGGTCGAAAGAGATAAGCAAAAGTAAAATGTAAAATTCTACCGCGGCGGCGCAATCGCGATTTTTGTTAAATTTTAAGACGGCACCGTCGGGTTTAGTTATTTAAGTTATTTTTAGTGGAAATGTAATTAAATATATTTTTTTTGTCAAATAAAATGAAAACTCGGTCGTTGCGTTTTTAAAGCGTTTTTTTTTTAATTTTAATTTATTACAAGAAAAAATATAAAAGAGAGAAAAGTCGTAAGCCCGTTGGAAAGATTCGTTGAAAAGTATGTAACAGGTCGATGGAAGCATTTCCGATCCTATAAAGTATATACATATCTTATTGATCAGTATGGCTTCAGATATTTCTTCAACCCTTAATGGCTTAATGGGCAATGACATCTGCAATGGAGTCTCCAATCTCTTAAGGGGGGTCTCTATTTTTTTCTATCGAGACAATGTTATAAAGAGTGAAATGATCATCTAGATGCGGACCGAAAGTATTTACTGGTTCTAATTAATTTTTTACAAGTTCGCCACTAGGGAATTAGACGGGAACCTGTCTAAAGGGTTGTCGGTTAGGCGATTTTCTGCACTTCCATAGAGAGTAGTTCGTGTCAACGGTATAGTCCATGGAGGACTCAAACAAATCGCTTCTGAGTTTCCTTAAAATGGTTGATTAGTTGTTCTCCTGCCCTGTACCAGCTACTTTGGTTTCCAGGACCTTGAGAACGAATTGCTCTTCTTCAAAGGTGCATTTTTGTTTGAGTATTTCTCTGGCTGCCCTTGAAACAACAATACCATAACTTAGCGGACGTAGATCATGATCAGATTACGTTGAAGCATTAGTAGCTATATTTATATTTTTAGTTAGAATGCATTTCGATGTCTTCTCTACAGTCCATAACATTATTTATTTGGAAGGAGCTCTTAAGCTGTTGTTAAAAAGCGATAAGATCAGTACGACTTGAGATTATTCGAGAACTTGGTGTAAAATTAACGCCATTTGTTTGAAGATTTAAAAACAAGAGATATTTCAAGTCCCAACACTTTTAGTTATTTATCTGAGAATCTAGTATTTCATTGTAAAGTGCGAAACCACTCAAAGTAGCTGTTTGGCTAGATACATTTGGGTATCCATGGGTTGTCCAGCATTCCAGTCGCCTCCAACCAGATTTCTCACACCACAAGAAACAAGTACGTTAGTGAAATCCCTTTAATGGAAGACATTTAAATAGTCTGTGTTTTAATAACAATTTGTGGAAAATGACTTAGCTTAAGCTTCTCACCAAAACCGCTGTACCTCCTTAGCATGATTGTGCCGTGCTAGTTTATATGCTGAATTGAAACAATTTCCATATATTTTGACAACTTCTCCTCGACTGATCCTTAAAAGTAAGATATCAACTTTGTTTTTGTGCGCGAAGTGTTCAAAAAGAATTTCAAAGGAATTGTTACTGCTATTGTTGCTAGACTTATTTTTGTTGTTTCATAATTTGTTTTTGCTGGTGTTTCAAAATTGACTGAAAATCAGGTTGATGTTGTTGCACTGCATGTGCTTGAAGATCATTTAAACGGCACTGGGCGGGTCCATTTCCGTTTCTTACTATTGAGGCATAATATAAACCTCCACTATTGGTTGCAGAAGAGTTCTGCTTTTGCAGACCTAGTTGCTGTTGAGTTTACTGTTGTTGCTGATGTTTTTGTTGCAGTGTCGAGCCGCAGTTTAATTTTGAATTGTTTTTTTTTAGTTTCAAAACATCTCAAGTCTCAAGTTGCCCTAATAGGTCACTAATAAATAAATTAATTAATATATAATAAAATAACATTTGTTATAATTGGCGTCCAACCTTGAAAAGTTCTACTACTCCATATTCAAAAAACGATTTCATAGAAGGTAACTTGTTCAAAGTCGTTTAAAAATATAATAATAGCGATCAATAAAACGGAATAATGTTTAAACTAAAAGAAATAGAAAAAAATAAGAACTCCCAAATAAAAGTGAAAGACTCTAATAAATATAAGAAATTATTCGGTGCGAAAATAAGAAATGGAGTTTCTGCGAGTAACCTGCAACAACACTCATTACAACGATTCGCCACCTCAGCAAAACAATACAAGAAAAACAATACGATGTGTTCCACTCGACAAATTGTTAGTAAGGTGATTGTTTATTATCTTTGTAATAGTAGCGAAATTCAAAGAGAAAGAAAAAAAATTTCGCTTCAGAGGCTACTCTTAATAAATTAAATGAGCTAGTTATAGGAACCTCCAAATAAAGAAAACACAGATTAACGTAACAATAGAGTATATTGGGAATATTAATAGTATGACGAACATCGATATTTCTGAAACTCTACGATAAGGTCTTAGGTCCTTGACAGAAGTTCCAAGAATAAGAGAGCAGAATAGGTTTTTTTTCTCTGACAAATACGGAGGTCAAGGCCTATAAGGCCATTAGTATCGACAGTAGTATAAAGTGCGAAGAGCCGTTGGACATTGTCATTGTCCATTCCCGAATTCGGCGGGAAGCAGGATTATTTCTCTGGGAGACAAGCGGCTAACGCTGCATATATCGTCTTGCAACCTTTCAATGGCAGTTCCAAACACTACCAGGCGGTACCAATTATAAGGAACAAAGTAAATGACAATGCAGATGCGGTGTTAGCCTTCTTTAATACGGTTTTGAATTTTGACGCCATTATAGCGCGTCTTGATTTCATGTATGCCGATAAAACACTGGTACGTGTAATTCAGCAGGAATAAGATACAAGATTATGATGAGACAGAGAAGAAGTTAACCCCTGACATCACTTGTGTCACCTAAAAAGACAAACGACAAAATAATACGTTGGAATGCGTTTGTCGACTAACATGAACCCTAGCAAACAAAATCTATTGGGGATGCTCTTCCCCGCCAAAATTTAAAGGATAGTGGTGACTCTGACGCCGCCACTAATTACAGTATAGAGTCCCTGACATACACCATTGAAACAACGGACAGAACAGAAAATTGCTTTGCTAATCAGATTGTGATTGAAGAATCGCTTCACCCAAAAACTAAATAAGTTCTCTAAGTTTTCCTCCGTTTGCGATCAATTAAAGACTTTAAAACACCTTTACTTCAACTTGCGAATCTGTTTCCAAAAATAAAACCCTATACTGCTACAACAAAAGCTCTGTTAATTCCGAAAGTATAAAATCAATTTTAACGGGAAATTTTGGAATTAGTATTGTAAATTCCCCAGCTCCACATATCAAATCAAACGGAATGGTAGAAC